ATCATCCACCTATAGAAATACCTTTGTTAAAAACACATAAACACATATATGGTACTTTTTTCAAACCAAAAATTAATAGTTTGATTATAAAAGCCCTTAGTGAAAAACTTTGGCTATATGAAGTATTAAATGAAAATTTTAGTGAAGAACCACTAAAACTATGGTCTTAAAAATCTATATATTGTAGTTTACAAATTACAAATCCTATAAAGATTATTAGAGTCAAACCCATGATCTATACTAAACTAGATATAGATAAATTTAATGTTAAAAAAAAATTATTAGATAAAGGATTAGTAAATGTAATAACCTTATCATTACTAGTCTTCATTCTAGTCCAACATTTATGGTAAAAAACCATGCAAAGCAAAAATGAGGAAAGGCGGGAATGTAATAAACTATAAAAGATTAAATCAAAATTTATTCTTTGATGGCTATTTTATTTAACGAAAGGATGTATTTATTAATTTAGTTAAACATGCTAAAATATTATAGTAAATTTGATCGTAAATTAGGTTTTTGGCAAATTATGCTAATAGATGCATCAAAACCTTTGATTGCATTTAGTACTCAAAAAGGATATTATTAGTGGAACTTATGCCATTTGGATTATGAAATATTCCACAAATATTTCAAAGATTGATGAATTTTTGTGTTGTTTATATTGATTATATTTTAATTATTTTCTCAATCATTAAAATAAGCATTGGAAATATCTAAATTTGATGGCTCAATAATTTATTAAGAATGGCATTATTTTAAGCCCTAAAAAGATAGAGCTTGAAAAAACAGAAATCGAATTCTTATGGTTAAACCTATCTTCTCAAGGAATAAAATTACAAGATAGTATTCTAATAAAAATAAAAGAATTCCTTGAAAAGCTTGAAGATAAAAGGCAACTTTAATATTTTTTAGGACTTTTCAACTATGGTCGACAGTTTATGAAGAATCTTTCTAAACAAGAAAAGGTTGTATTAGAAAAGCTTGAAAAGTTATTCCATTTAAATGGATAGAAAAATATTCCTCTATTATTAGAGAAATAAATAAAGAGTTGAAAGAACTTCCTAAGGTTTATCTTTCTAAACCTAAAGAACAATTAATTCTAGAAACAGATGGTCTCTAACGAATATTAGGAATGTGTTTTGAAAGGCAAAGCACATAATAATAAATTAATAAGTGGATATAATTCCAAAAAGTTTAAACCAAATTAGATAAATTATATTATCTTTGAAAAGGAATTACTTGCTAAAAAATGGAGTAAGTATATTTCATATTTATTTGACACCTAAACAATTTATTATTAGAACAAATAATCAAGCTGTCAAAGATTTTTTACAAAGTAAAAAGGTATAAACTAATCCAAAAAGATTAGATGGTACAATTTTTTTATGTCAATATAATTTCTCTATTGAACATATAAAAAGAGTTAATAATGTTATTTTTTATATTCTTAGCTGGCCACACGGGAGATTGAGGTAAAAAAACCTCTTAAACAAGTGGGAGATTGGGTTACAATAAGAAAGAAGTAACCTAAACCTGGCTCTTCATCTTTTTTTTCCATACAAATCCTAAAAATTCTATTCAAGGAATATGGGTTCAAGCCCCAATACTAATAGTTCAATATCCTAACCCAAGATATTATTTTTATTCCACCATAGGTAATTTTGAAACCATATCAATTTTTTCAATGGTCTCAAGATCTAAATAACTTTCTACAATTTCTCCTTCTGAGATCATTAAACGAACAAAATCACTATTGATACCACAACAGTCACAACAATCAGATATGATAAAATACTTCTAATGTCCTACATGACTTTATAATCATATTAATGAAATATGAAAATCCCATCTTCCTTGTCAAAGATCAACTTTTAGAAAATCTGACAAAGCTTTCTAAATCACTTTCTATACTAGTTAATGATGAAAAGAATTGTAACAATCTCATTTTAAAAAGTCTTATTCTACAAAAATGAAATGAGTAGGATGAATTTGATACTGAGGAGATAAATAATTTTCTTGAAATTTGTGAATATTTTAATGAACAAATAGTTTTATTCACTTTTGATTAAATTACAAAAAATTTTTCTTATTTGGAAACGACAAAAAAAAACTTATCACCACAAGTTTTTCAAATATTTTTAATAGTATTCATTTAGAAAGTGAATTTATTTTCAAAAGAAATTTTGAAGAATACATTTCACAAGTTTATCTTCATAATAAAAGGATGCTTAAATTAAAATTTAGACTTAATTATGAATCTTTTGATATAATCGATATCAAAATAAGTTTTGTAGGAGAAAATAGTTGTACAAAATCTTTTTTTTTTAATTTATTAAAAGAATTTCCAGCTTTTACCAAATAAAAAATATTTGATTTGGTAAAAATGATGATTTTTACATGTATGTTCACATTATTATTATTATTATTAGTTTAATTGAAATTTTTGAACGAGAAATGTTTTATCAACCTTATTAGGAAGTAATCAAACTTTTGGGTGCACCAAAATTACTGCTAGCAAATGAAAATATTAGATAACTAAATTTTGCTTGGGAAAATTTTTAGCATTTTAATTTATTATACCAATTCACTACTGGAATCGGTTTTTGGAAAAGGATATCATAGTTGGAGCATCCACTTGTAAAATCCATATTTGATGAAACAAGAATATTTTATGCAAAATTTTTATGAAGCAGTCTAAGAAGGACAATCAAACCCTCAAGCGATTAGATTTATAGAGAAACTCTTATAATGGAAAATCTTGGTCATTTAAAAATCTTTCTTACTCAATATCAAGAATAATAATAATAATAATAAAACACTTATATTGTTTCTTTCAACCCAAAAATGAAGTAATAAATTTAGATATTATCCAAAAAAAAGGCAAAATTTTCACAGCCTCGGCAAAAGCAGTAAAAAATAGCCAAAAGCAGTAAAGAAAGGACCAACTGAAAAAGCAGCAGACCACTTTTGAAATGAAAAAGATTAAAAAGAAAGGCCAAAAAGTTTCCCAATTATCTTCAACAAATAAATTAGAAGTTGTCGAAACTCATCCAGAGATAAAGTTAATAATAAACTATAGATGGAGCTAACCTTTCTCTTCCCGTCTTATAAATAGAGGGTTTGATGAATGGCATTTCATCTTTCATCTTTCTATCTTCTTTTTTATCTTCTTTCTTCTCTCATCTCTTGTCTTGTAAAATATATTTTCTTTAAGCATCCAATTTTAGCATCTAGTAATCCATTTGTAATTAAAATATATTTCTACCATCTATGGCATTTTTTCCTATATAATAATCAACTTAAAATGTAACAAAAGAATGAATTACTTAAACTAACTATTGGTTTTAGAACAAATATGCATGGATGGAATTCAGACATTAGCATTTGATTTAATAAGTGTATTTTTTTTTAATTTTATTTAACAAGTTAGGTTTAAATCTATCCCCTCTCAAAATAAAATAAAATAAAATAAAACAATACTTTGCTTATTGCAACATTTTATCAGATTGAATGAAGTATGAGTTCGAAAATCTAAGATGATTGGCAGATGACTATATAATTCAAAGGACCTATATGGTCATCCAATTGGGTGTTGATCATTTTAAAAGTTGTAGTAATTCGAACTTAAGCATTTGATTAAATGGGAACACATGAATTCTCTTGCTCGAACGCTTTCAAGTTTAAATTTTTTTCACTTCCCCACAAAAATTAAAGTTTTAATAAAAAAAAATAAAAAAAATCAAAGAGTGACTTATAAATAATATGTAAAAACATAGAGGGATTACATTAAAGAGCTATGTCGCTTGTTCCATCAATTTTATTTAAAATATTTTTATTTCCCGGAGATGATAATTGTTATTGGATAAATTAAAAGGTTAGGTGCAATGCATTAATTCATGAGTAAGTCGAGTGATTTATAAATAAGATATTATACTTAAATCATTACTTTATTGTCACATCAGGCGGGAGAAAATGCTGGGACCATTATATATTTTTTTACCTAAAGTTTCTAATATTTAAGGGGTTCAAAATAAAAGAAGAACAAAATTAATGTAAAATTTATTTCCTGCGAAGCGAAGTTTATAGTGCTTAAATGAACTTCTTTCTGGCCTAATTATTTTTCTTGGACAATTATAGACAAGTTTAAAATGAAAAATAAAAAAATAATTCATTTTTTATTTAGCGATAAAGTGTTCCTGAGCCTCGTCCAATATGTATTTTCTATAAACACTTAAAAATTTATTATTTATTTTTACGTTAGTCATTAAACTAATTATATTTATTATTTTTAATTAAATAAATACTTAAAAATAAAATTATCTCAATTTAAGTTTATTCGATTTAAATTAATTGTTTGAATCCTTTCACTTGGTATCATAATCATCACGGGCAACTGAAAATGAGTTGGAATGGATTTAATTTTGGATAATTTCAACAAACCAACTTTTACAATTTGGATTAACTTTGGTAGTTGAAACAAATCCAATAAATGATAAATAAAAATGTAAATGATATATTAATATTTATAAATTATTTGAGATTGATTCAAATAAAATTCGAATTCAGTTTGATTATTATTGAATTGAGCTCGAGCTTGAATAGTTTAACTCATCGATCAAGTTAAATTTGAGTATTTTTATATTCGATTCGAGTAACTCATGAACTTAATCAAATTTTTATATTTAAATATATTTTTATTATTTTAATTAATAAAATATATTAAACTTAAATTTAAGTTCAAACATAAATAATCAAATTTTTATCAAATATAATAATCAAATTTATTTTTACATGTTAATCGAATTTAATCGAATGAATTTAAATAATTTAATTTTTATTTTGAGTCAAATTTAAATTAAATTTTAAAATTTAAATTAAATTTAAATTTAATATTATATCAATTTAAACACGAGGAGTAACATTTCTAACGGGAAAGCCTTTGTAAAAAAAGGGCTAGTCTCAGCCCATTGAAATGCCAATGTTCCTCGACAAATTTTCCTCGTTAAAAATAAAGCAACTGTGCTCAGCCAATATGAAAAAAAAAAAATAGTAAAGCTTTGTGATTGGGTTGGGGTTCAAGTAGTGAAACTCTGAAACCAAACCTCATATTTCTTTCACACTCCGATTCTTGAAGCTCAAGGTTAGATTTTTCATATCTCCTCACTCTCTTTTGCTTTCTTTCCTCGGAGTCCATTTTCTTATCAAATTATTTATTTTTGTAATTGCGACAATCTTAGGGTTTACCTATTTCTTCAAATTCAGGCATTGCAACTTTTATTTTCGAATTTTGTTTCAATACGATATTTGATTATCGTACTGGAAAAGCTGATAGCTTATAACTGTTTTCTTATTTATTTTATTGACTTAATTCCTTTGTTTTGTTTTCTTGAGAGTTTGTATGTAACATTACTTGTATAAAGCTTGATTAGAGATGAATCTATGCCACTATTGTCCTCAACTGTGGTTCTTTTTGAAGTTTTTCTGTTTATTGGTGTTGTAAATTTGCTTGTTTATGGAAATTTTTTTCTTGGAGATTTGGAATAACTCTTCGGTTTATTGTTATTCTGGAATGGAAACAGTTAGAATCAAAAGTGTTAAATTTTGATGCATTTGGAAACTTAAAACATGTCCGTTGATCCCAGTGTGCCAATGAATTATGTGGATGATGATGCTTCTTCGGGCTCGGGTGATGATGTGAACATGCTAGATGGACACAACAAGCGTCAGTCTGTGACACCATCAAGTTCTGGCCGGCGCAAGAGAAGTCGGAAGGCTACTGGAGATGCCATAGTGGATGCTATGCTAGAAATTGCAGCTGCTTCAAAAATGAGGGCGTCTGCAATTATGAAGAATGAGGACCGGTTTTCTATAAGCAGATGCATAAAAGTATTAGATGAGATGCAAGGTGTTGATCAACGGATTTACTTTCTTGCTTTGGATTTATTTGAGAACCCCAATGCTAGGGAAATATTTATATCTCTTAAGAGTGTCAAAAGGTTGCTATGGTTGCAAGGCAAGTGTAGTTCTTTGTCTAGTTGATTAATGAATAGTTTTAATGACATTATTAGTTGTGTACCTTGTAGTCTCATCATTTGGTTTCAGTATGTATGACCCTAGTGGTGCCTAGTTACTTCTATTAATGTAACATCTTGACTTCATGGTTGTTTGATTTGGATGAGTGATCTTAAATGATAGGTAGCCACTTTTATTTTTATTTATTTATTTATTTTTTTAAGGAAAATACATTGCTTGGTTTTGTGGACTGGATGGTTGATTGGTCTTCTTTTAAGAGTTATTCACTGTTTGCTTTGCATTACACAGGCTTTGTTTGATTTTATTTCACAGATAAGTCAACTAGCATGGATGACCTTGACTTAGAAATGGAAGAGATGGAACTAATTGCTGAAGCTGCTTGTTACTATTATTATAATAGCATAACTAGGCAAATTTGTGGAAAAATTGAGAGTATATAGAAAAACCTGTCTATTAGAATCATAAAAACACCATAGGTTTAAATACAGCTAACTAGATGGTAAACTAAAAAATTTAATATTCTTAAATTTGATCCGTATAATTAAAGGATTGTTTATCTTGATATCTTGTCTTTAATTTTAGATATACAAATTCTCAATTTTAGAGATATAAATGTATACAGATTACAATCAGTTATACAAATTACAATCAGTTGTAACTAAATGTTTTTTCACAAAATTCATTGTATTTCATCACCTTGCGGAAGTGCTTTTATGAATGAGGTGCCAGAAGGAACCGATGATGTGTGTCGCGAAATGTTGCGGCTGGATAAACATGTTTTTCACAAACTATGTTACACTCTTCGACATAGACGTATGTTACGTGATGTAGCTGGTGTTACGATCTAGGAGCTGGCAATTTTCTTAAATATCATGGGCCATAATGAACGCAGCAGAGTAATCAAAGGGCAGTTTCAGCATTCAGGTGAAACCATGAGTCTGGCACTTTACTAATGTTTTGAAGGCAATCAAGTCACTTTCACGGGAATTCTCACTGCCCCCAAATGATAGTACTCCTCAGGAAACTCTTAATAGTAATAGATTTTAATCGTATTTCAAGGTCCATGTCTATAAACCTGTTTCTTTTGTCATTATATCTCTATCATGGGTGATTCACTTTACTTTTGCAAGCTCAGGATGGTGTTTGCATCATAGATGGAAAGCACATCCCTGCACATGTCCCAGCAAAAGATCAGTCTCGTTTTCACAACAGGAAAGGTGTTTTATCACTAAATGTTTTGGCAGCCTGCACATTCTATCTAGAGTTTGTATTTGTTTATCCAGATTGGGAAAGATCTGCTGCTGATTTACGAGTGTCAAGAGCAGTCTTGGATGATCCAGATCAGAATTTTCCTCACATTCCTGAAGGTTTTACATTCTACCTTTTTTCCCCTTTTCTGGAAAGCGTATTTGGGGAAGGGAATGATTCTATGTTTTGTCTTGTGAATATATGAGCTGCAAGTTGAAATTGGATGAAATTTAGGGTTGATTTCTGTTCAAGTCCTGGTCCTTGTCCAAAATTTTTGTTACATGCTTGTAAAGATAGCTTAATTTTCTCTTTATCTTTCTCTTTATCTTCTCTTATTTATTTTTTTTATTTTTTGGCCAGAAGTTTCTCATTATCTTGCCTGTCATGTGGATTGAATTGAAAACACCTGACCCTGGACTTTTTTCTGTTACAGGAAAATACTATTTGGTTGATAAGGGGTACTCCTATATGGAATGATTTCTTGCTTCATATCCAGGAGTAAGGTATCGCCTGCATGAATATAGAGGTGCCAATCAACTATCCAGAAATGAAAAGGAGCTCTTTAATCATCGCCATTCTTCTCTTAGAAATGTCATACAGAGGTCTTTGGAGGTGCTGAAAACTCGATTTCCCATTCTCAAACTTGTCCCACAATATGCCTTTCATATTCAAAGGGATATAGTCATAGCTGCATGGTTTCTGCATAATTACATCCTGTGTGAGGATAGACATGATTGCTTGTTTTCTATCATTGATAGTGGATGAATTGCCTGATTTGAATGAGGCAACCTGAGCTGCAGTTTTCTTCCTCAATTCAGGAACAAATTGCTTCATGTTTACAAGAATCAATAGCAACAAGTAGGATCAGTGTTTATTGTTTGCTATTAAGAGGATTGTAGAATAGATGTATATATTTTCTTGTATTCCTCTTTTACTTTAATTGTCTGGTTTGCCTTTATTTTTTTTTATTTTTTATTTTTATTTTCCTTATTATTTGACGATCCTTTTGCTAGATCTTCTGGAGTTCATTTGACATTCCAAGATGTTTATGGTGCATAAATTGGTGCAGTTCTCAACAAAGGAGGCGTATTCTCTTCAAAAGTTAACACCAGCAGTCTGATCCAAGCATCAGCATGATTCTGCCCTCAATCTTGGTATGTCTTTGAGATGCTTCCTAAGATGGAATCTACTAGTGGTGAATTGAAGCGTACGGAAGTAACCTGCTGACTGTTATGTGTCTTGAACCGATGAATTATTGCATAAATGATCCGGAGAAAATGGTAGGCTAAATTGCGGTTCTGGTCGTGGATGTGTAATGTCATAGTTTTGGAGTATGTCAACTTTTATTGGCATAAACTAATAATACAAATTTAGAGTTTTGTTCAGTTGGCTCATAAAATCATTTTTAAAATGCAACATCTACCAACATACTTTGAGGATAAATTTTAGTACTTACAACTTTTTTTTTATTTTCAAATGGTGACATCTTTTGTAAAAAAAAAAAATAATAATAATAATAATAATAATAATAATAATAATAAAAGCTCTAAGTTTTATTTTATGAAATTACAAGTGTAAAGAAATTATAATTATAATTAAGTATTACATTCATATATATAAAAAAATACTAAATAATCAATTAATGAATTATAACATAATTAATAAATTTAACATAAAATTAAATCAAACTCACAATTAAATTTGAATTTAGGACATCAAAATTTTAGATATTATTCTTATCATTAAATCAAAGTTTAACTGGCTCTTTAAATTTTCTTTTGAAGCATGGTGGAAAGATCTTTTCTACCGTGTTGGAATGTTAATATTAAAACCACATTGGACTTATATGGTTTTTGTTTATTTAAGTGCTTATCACTTCATTTGAATGTATAAATATATCTGGGTTATCTTAATAATTTGATTTATAGAAAAATTATATTGATAAAGTGGTAACTTATTGTAAAAATATTATTCAAAACTTATATAAGTGATAAATTATTGTAAAGAATTGAGTAAATAATGTAGAAAAAGAGTAGATAAATTAAAATAAATATAAATATAAAAGGAAAATAAAAGGAAAAAAAGTAAAAAGCGAAACAAAACATAAGAAGAAAAAAAAAAAAAAAGAACATTGTCTTGCGAGTAAACGTACAAGAAACAATGTCTAGAGAGTAAACCGTACCCTTGAAAGATTCACTCAATATTTGGGAGAATTTAGCCGAAAATATTAAGTCTTAAATGGATTTAGAAAAAATTGAGATCAGTTTGAAAACAGATTGGGTCTTGATTTTAACATTTAAGGATCCAGCTATGCTTGGCTCGATTATAATATTATTTTTATATTTATATATTATATAAATGATAAATATATAATATTAGAGTATAAACGTTGAAAAAATATATTAAATTATTCATGTTTTCAATAATAAAAAATGAAAAATATATTAAAGATTAAATAAAATCATTTTTTATTTTATAGAAAGAAAAATTACTTGAACGGGTTTGAGTTGTAAGATTTATTGGAATCAAAATATGAAAAATTGAAATTATGATAAATTTGAAATTTGGAGGAAAAGTTTTACCACGTATAATGGTGTCACTTTTCTTAAAATTTTATTCATATTTATCGTATTATTTATTAGTACATGTGCAAAAAGTTTGTAGTTGATAAACTTTAAAGATACAACGAAATTTAGTGATTGATTGCATTTTGTATTGACTGAACTTTTACAGCAAAACTTTATAAAAAAATTCTACAAATTATTTGAAAGAGGAGAGTTCTGCAAATTGTTTCTGTATATTTTTTTAGAAGACTAGAGAAGCTTACATAATTAATTATCATTTCATTTTACATAAATAACTGTCTATTTTGAATAGATAAAAATTATATGTTTTTTTAATAATTAAAAATATTTATTTGAATAGATTTATCTGTTTATTTTGTACATAATTGATATTTGTTTTTATCAATTTGTTTTGAACAGACTTGATTAATCAAACACTTAATTAACTTTTGTTTAATTAAAAAACTAAATTTTAAATAAAATAATATTTTCTTTACTAATTACACATGTCACATGTCCAAGTGCCACATGTCTAAGTGCCAAGTGTCATTAATTAAATATTAATTTATATTAATTATTTAATTAATGTAAAACCAACCACACTAGAAAATCCATGATCATGGTTTATCTTTGCACTTTAGCCATTTAAGTCTAATTACATTGGACTTTTTCTTTTAATTTAAGTGACTATTTTATCTTTTTTTTTTTCAATGTGAAATTATTTTTTATATTTTATTTTGAAATTTTTTAACATTCCTCTATCATTTTCAAAATAATCCAAATTTATTATGATCTTGGAAATCAATTGCATAAATAAAATGTATCTTCTGATTTGAACTTTTATTTAGTGAAAATAAGTTAAAGTTAATTGAAATCGCATAATCGATTATGCTTTAAACCAATTATTCTATTTAGTTAACTGAACTTATCTTACATAATGATTTCAACACTCAATGAATGCTTGGTATCTAGTGACACTTTTATAGCCATATGTCTGTATTCTCTTTTCATGAATGCTATTAGAGACAAGCTTTTAGGCTTATGAAAGTGACCATACTTCACATTTATATAGGTAGCTCCCATCAAAAGTTTTCTCATAATTGTAACACTCTAACATATTTATGTTATAGATCTATTAAAAGTATATTACTCATCCTTCCTTTACCATTATGGGTCCCTACCATTTTATCTAGGATGGAATTATAAATCTTGTTATGGTGCTAGTAGTCACATACAAATGATATGCTTTATCTCATTGAACTTAAGACTTGACATTATACCAAGTGTAAAGTCGAGTTTCCATTATGGGTCACTTTATTAGCTTGATCCCCATCCTTATTGAGGTATTTTTTACTAATTTTCTAGCAAAACTTTTGGTTAAAAGATCATCCAAATTTTCATTTGACTTCAAATAGTTTATGGTGATCACTCTATCTAAAATTAATTGTTGAACATAATTATGTCTTAACCCAATATGTTTAGACTTTCCATTATATATTTGGCTATATGCCTTTAGTAGAGTTGCTTCATTATCACATCGAATATAAATTGGAGAAACTAGTTTAGGCCATAAAGGTACTTTATGTAATAAACTTTTTAATCATTTAGCTTCTTTAGCTATTATAGGTAATGCAACAAATCAGCTGCCATGGTGGAATCTTTTATGCATGTTTGTTTATTGAAACCCTAAGAAATAGCACCCCCATCAAG